GTAACACTGTTTAGTATGGATACCCTGAAACCCTGTAACACCGTTTAGTATGAGATACCATGAAACCCTGTAACAGTGTTTAGTATGAGATACCATGAAACCCTGTAACACTGTTAAGTATGAGATACCATGAAACCCTGTAACACTGTTTAGTATGAGATCCCATGAAACCCCTGTAACACTGTTTAGTATGAGATCCCCTGAAACCCTGTAACACTGTTTAGTATGGATACCCTGAAACCCTGTAACACCGTTTAGTATGAGATACCATGAAACCCTGTAACACTGTTTAGTATGAGATACCCTGAAACCCCCGTAACACTGTTTAGTATGGGATACCCTGACACCCCATGTAACACTGTTTAGTATGAGATACCATGAAACCCACATAACACTGTTTAGTATGGGATACCCTGAAACCCCATAACACTGTTTAGTATGAGATAATATGAAACCCCCATAACACTGTTTAGTATGAGATACCCTGAAACCCTGTAACACTGTTTAGTATGGATACCCTGAAACCCTGTAACACTGTTTAGTATGGATACCCTGAAACCCCCGTAACACTGTTTAGTATGGATACCCTGAAACCCTGTAACACTGTATAGTATGGTTACCCTGAAACCCCCGTAACACTGTTTAGTATGAGATACCCTGAAACCATGTAACACTGTTTAGTATGGATACCCTGAAACCCCCGTAACACTGTTTAGTATGGATACCCTGAAACCCACATAACACTGTTAAGTATGGTTACCCTGAAAGTGAAACTTTGTAACACTGTTTAGTATGGGATACCCTGAAACCCCATGTAACACTGTTTAGTATGAGATACCATGAAACCCACATAACACTGTTTAGTATGGGATATCCTGAAACTCTGTAACACTGTTTAGTATGAGATCCCCTGAAACACGCATAAAACTGTTCAGTATGGGATACCCTGAAACCCTGTAACACTGTTTAGTATGAGATAACATGAAACCCACCTAACACTGTTTAGTATGGGAGACCCTGAAACCCTGTTACACTGTTTAGTATGAGATACCATGAAACCCACATAACACTGTTTAGTATGGGATACCCTGAAACCCTGTAACACTGTTTAGTATGAGATCCCCTGAAACACGCATAACACTGTTTAGTATGGGATACCCTGAAACCCTGTAACACTGTTTAGTATGAGATACCATGAAACCCACATAACACTGTTTAGTATGGGATTCCCTGAAACCCTTTAACACTGTATAGTATGGTTACCCTGAAACCCCCATAACACTGTTTAGTATGGGATACAATTAAACCCTGTAACACTGTTTAGTATGGGATACCCTGAAACCCCATAACACTGTTTAGTATAGGATACCCTGAAACCCCATAACACTGTTTAGTATGAGATAACATGAAACCCCCATAACACTGTTTAGTATGAGATACCCTGAAAGTGAAACCCTGTAACACTGTTTAGTATGGGTACCCTGAAACCCTGTAACAGTGTTTAGTATGAGATACCATGAAACCCTGTAACAGTGTTTAGTATGAGATACCATGAAACCCCCATAACACTGTTTAGTATGGGATACCCTGAAAGTGAAACCCTGTAACACTGTTTAGTATGAGATACCCTGAAACCCCATAACGCTGTTTAGTATGGGATACCCTGAAACCATGTAACACTGTTTAGTATGAGATACCATGAAACCCTATGTAGCACTATTTAGTATGAGATACCATAATACCCACGTAATACTGTTAAGTATGAGATACCCTGAAACCCCTGTAACACTGTTTAGTATGAGATACCCTGAAACCTCTGTAACACTGTTTAGTATGGATACCCTGAAACCCTGTAACACTGTTTAGTATGAGATACCATGAAATCCCCATAACACTGTTTAGTATGAGATACCCTGAAAGTGAAACCCCCGTAATACTGTTTAGTATGGGATACCCTGAAACCCCATGTAACACTGTTTAGTATGAGACACATGAAACCCACATGACACTGTTTAGTATGGGATACCCTGAAACCCTGTAACACTGTTTAGTATGAGATGCCCTGAAACATGCATAACACTGTTTAGTATGGGATACCCTGAAACCCCCATAACACTGTTTAGTATGGGATACCCTGAAACCCCATAACACTGTTTAGTATGAGATAACATGAAACCCCCATAACACTGTTTAGTATGAGATACCCTGAAACCCTGTAACACTGTTTAGTATGGATACCCTGAAACCCTGTAAAAGTGTTTAGTATGAAATACCATGAAACCCCCATAACACTGTTTAGTATGAGATACCATGAAACCCTCATAACACTGTTTAGTATGAGATACCCTGAAACCATGTAACACTGTTTAGTATGAGATACCATGAAACCCTGTAACACTGTTTAGTATGGGATACCATGAAACCCACATAACACTGTTTAGTATGGGATACCATGAAACCAACATAACACTGTTTAGTATGGGATACCATGAAACCCTGTAACACTGGTTAGTATGAGATACCCTGAAACCCACATAACACTGTTAACTATGGAATACCATGAAACCCTGTAACACTGTTAAGTATGAGATACCCTGAAACCCACATAACACTGTTAACTATGGAATACCATGAAACCCTGTAACACTGTTTAGTATGAGATACCCTGAAACCCACATAACACTGTTAAGTATGGAATACCATGAAACCCTGTAACACTGTTTAGTATGGGATACCATGAAACCCACATAACACTGTTTAGTATGGGATACCATGAAACCCTGTAACCCTGTTTAGTATGAGATACCCTGAAACCCTGTAACACTTTTTAGTATTGGATACCCTAAAACCCCCGTAACACTGTTTAGTATGGGATACCCTGAAACCACTGTAATACTGTTTAGTATGGGGTACCCTGAAACCCCCGTAACACTGTTTATTTAGTATGAGATACCCTTAAACCCCTTTAACACTGTTTAGTATGAGATACCCTGAAACCACTGTAATACTGTTTAGTATGGGATAGCCTGAAACCCCTGTTACACTGTTTAGTATGAGATACAATTAAACCCTGTAACACTGTTTAGTATTAGATACCCTGAAAGTGAAACCCCCGTAACACTGTTTAGTATGAGATACCATGAAATCCACGTAACACTGTTAATGAAACCCTGTAGCACTGTTTAGTATGGGATACCATGAAACCCTGTAACACTGTTTAGTATGAGATACCCTGAAACCCTGTAACACTGTTTAGTATGGGATACCATGAAACCCCATGTAGCACTGTTTAGTATGAGATACCATGAAACCCTGTAACACTGTTTAGTATGGGATACCATGAAACCCCATGTAGCACTGTTTAGTATGAGATACCATGAAACCCTGTAACACTGTTTAGTATGGGATACCATGAAACCCCATGTAGCACTGTTTAGTATGAGATACCATGAAACCCTGTAACACTGTTTAGTATGGGATACCATGAAACCCCATGTAGCACTGTTTAGTATGAGATACCATGAAACCCTGTAACACTGTTTAGTATGAGATATTATACACAGGATTGTACCAGTCTGTGTCTATTAAATTACAATAAATTAACATGACTTCTACAGTAGGTAATGATACACAGAATGATGGGGTAAAAACCCCACCTAGATTATAAATGTAGGAAGCTATAAATGTCACAGTATTACCTTTGATGTAAATGTACAGCTTATATTGATAACAATACCTGGATCATATCATAGTGGGTATTCATAATGCACTCTAAATTTGCACAAAATATTTGTCTTTCTTTAAGAGCAAGTGACATGTTTAAGGCAACCATTTACAACACATCGTAAGCTTTTAGCAGGACTAGAACTTTGTATACATGATATACATTTGATTCCCTTAAGCTACATGGTAGATAAACTTGGGCTGGGTAGTGTATAAGTTTATTTAGGATCTGTAATGTAACCCAGATATATGTTAAAGTGTATTATACCAGTTATTCTAGCCAGGCTCGGGACACAATAGGGACAGGTAGTCTCACAGGAAGACAGCAAGTGTTAAGTAGGTACATTTGTATATTATTTCGTGTACATATATAGATTTTATACACATTATATACACGACTACCGGGTAGATTAGGTCTTATCAATGTATCAAATTAAGCATGGGAGAGTGTTTTAAAGGAATATGATGTTGGGTGGAAATTTCAATAAAAAATGTGATGATTCATGGATATGCGGGTACATGTATATGTTTCACTTGTAAGTTTAACTATATAAAATCTGTACACTTGTGCTTTATAAGCACTTAGTCTGAGCTATACAACCTTCCCTTTAACCACTAATTACTGGTTTATCTGTAGTGTGTGTTATAAGTATTATAAAATTGTAATTTCTCTTCAACAGTACATAAAATGGAGATTTAATGTACAGAGGTTGAAATAAAAAAGAGGAAATCTAGCACTGTATATTGTTATGTCTATGAAACAAATAAAATAAAATGGCATCACCCATTCAATGTATGTGTGTAGTATGCTAGGTCAAATATCACCTCACGCAAAAGATTTTGCAAATAGGTTTTCTGCCTCTATGAAAACAAGCATATATTGATGCTCACCAAGATGTTTACCCTTCAGATCCTATTGATTGGTTGTTTTACACAATAAGTTATCAGTTTCATTTGTTGATGTTCATATTATATTGACGAAAATTAAGTTTACAAGCGTATTGCTGATTTAGCGAATGAAATTTTCAGTTGTAAAACTTTTCAACTGGCTAAATTAGTTAGTTCAGACTCCTTGATGTGATTTTTTTTTAACACTGTATGAAGTACATTCTTTTTTGCTTTGTAGTTCTAAAAAGTATTGGTTTAAGCCATAAGGTATTGTCCAGTGTACCGGTAGTCTTCCTGTTCATGTATTCAGTTCCTTGTAAAACCTTACCGGTTAAGGTAAAGTGTGTAATATATAGGAAATATTATAACAATGTATTTTGTTGTTACAGGTACATGTGACACACCAACCATGATGCCTTACAATCCAGGGTCTGCATCAGCACCAGGATCAAGCTCTCATTCAAAACGACGCAAAAAGCGGCCAATCCATGGGACCAAGACAGTGTCGGTAACAAGGGGGCGGTCAGGATATGGGTTTACAATATCCGGACAACATCCATGTGTATTGAGTTGTATTGTGGGAGGAAGTAAGGCAGAGGAGGCAGGACTTAAGGCTGGTGACTATCTAGTATCTGTTAACAACGAAAACGTCACCAAGGCTCCTCATGACGATGTCGTCAGAATGGTTGGTATGTCAACTGGGACTCTGACCTTACAGGTGGCAGAGAACTATAACAGTTCTGATTCATCTGACGATGAGTACCACCATAGGACTAAGGCACGGTACCCGAACCGTGTAAGGACACGAGCACCTGGAGTAGGGGGCAGTCGTCATGGTGACAAAATATTGGGAGAATGTAACCAAAGAGACAAACACAGCTTTGGAGGTGATCACAGACACAACAAGGACAGTCATCTTCACAGATACGAACATTCCAATTTTAAGTTCACATCTGCCATTAAGCCACGCCTTCATACGCCAGTAGGGGCGGAGAATACATATAAAGCACCTACCAATCACAGTACACCTCTGTTAGCTGGGTCGTGGTCTGTTGATAAGCAAAGTACTGTGGCTTCAGTTCATGCAACTCCTGCCTTCAACTTTCAGGCCAAACAGGCAATCGTAAAGAGCACCGCGCAGAGTGCAAGAGAACCAAGACAGAGACCTGTGGGTAGTCGTCATAACTACCACTCTCGTCAACCAAAAGATCATGCACATTTTAACACTTCACTAGCAGGGTCTAGCATAAGTGCCATCATGAAAACATCTGTTACTAACACCACTGCCAACAATGCTTTCATCGCAATGGAAGATGATGATGAGGATGGTGATGACGAAGAGAGTTTGCTTAATGCTGATACTGAGAATGTGAGAGTTGTTGTTGGATATATTGGGTCAATAGAGATGCCAAGTGACGCTAATAAACCTCATATCAAAATTCAGTCCATACGCAACGCTGTGAGGAGACTACGGGTGGAACAGAAGATACACACCCTTGTTCTGATGGAGGTCACAGAGGATGGGGTTAAATTGACCAATAGTATGGGGACCACGGTCGCACACTATCCTGCTGACCGATTGACATTTAGTGGCATCTCTCCTGACGACAAACGATTCTTTGGCATTGTGACGTTACACAGTACGAGCAGTGATGATGCCAGTAGTGATAATGGCAGTCAGGAGGAATCGACTCCCAGTGGATCTTGTCATGTGTTCATGGTGGACTCAGAAATGAGGTCACACAATATGCATGCGGCAAAGGCAAAGACATTTGGAATTGCGTGTACGAGTGGCGGCGAGAGACAAAGCTGCAATGAGTTCCCCAAGTCTGCCACGCCTGTCATCATGGCTATCACAAATCTGTACAAAAATCGCCCTGGTGTTAGTCTTGACAATGAGGTTGCCTTGTCTCAGGCTTTTGCTGACCCCTCAAGGGCTGTCGAGCGTAGCCATAGCAACAGTAGTAATAGTGACAGTGGTCTTGGCTTTGGGCGAGATGAGGCATCGAATAATGATAACGTTTATGTGGTGGACATGCCACCGCCGCCGGGTCCACCACCCACACCACAGCAACCCATACACAATGGCATGCATGCTCACATAAATCATTCCTCACCTGACAACCAATGTATGCCCACACCTATACGCGACACCCATAAAATGTTCACACACCCAGATATCAGGGCACGCCTCAATGTATCCGTGTGTAGTACAGATGATATACATTTTATGAAAACAAATTCCAACGATAAACTGAACATTAGGGCTATGCCTGACCCGACCTTGACCCCAGGGGCCAGAACTCATTCCAGTGATGGTCTTGACATGCACAACAGTGCAGCCAGTATGAGGGTCAATACCCAAAAGATCCTTAAGGCTCAGAGAACACCAATGTCCAGTCAAGGGATCAGTAGTGACCAGGAGTCATCGACCTCTCAGGGAAGTGACATATACCGGTCAGCGTCCAACCCTGACCTTCACCGACCTTCAGATATGAACAGACCGATCTCTGCCCCAAGTAAACAGTTTTGGGATGATAGCTTCACCAGGGAGTCTCGGAACAAAGCAGAGGCAGTTGATTTGGACGGTAAAAAGTTAAGCCCAAGGGCCTTTCTTCCACCCCCGTTTCATCAGCTGCGGTCACCCTCGGCCCCACCCACTTTTAATAACTCCTTTGTTGATGACCCAGCCAACACCAGTTGCATGGGGGGTCTCATTGAGCAGTTTGAGCAGAATAGCGCCCTTAGAATATCGTCCCCGGCAGAGACCAACAGGAAATATGATGTCGAGACTAAAAGGAAATCGGTAAGTTATTTGTTTTTTATTCAGAACTAGATGTTTGTAACAAGCTCCAGATATCCTAAACTATTTGTTCACTTTCAGAATTATTTTTAAAATTTGATAGAAGATTGGTCCTTTCCAAAATAACATTGTACCTGTAACAAACAACAATTTGCAATCAGCATGTGATTTACCACCTATCTTTACTGCTGTTGTAAGTGATTTATTGATGAAACCTGAATAAAAGATTTCTCGTTTTCAATGAAACATACCAGAGATTAATAGAGTCTTTTATCCCTTTTGGTATTACAATTACACCCAATTAATACATCACTTAATATCATTAAAATCATACTAATCCTCTTTTCAAAAGTGTGATTGGACTGCTGGATTATGATAAATTAAAAGAACGCACATAAACTGAAAACATATCCATAACTTTTACATCTACACGATGGTTTGAACAATAGACAAATTTGAAAACAGATCATTTATTTAAAAAGAGTTAAGTACAGATGGTGGTATGTAAGTTCAAAACAGGTAAGAACAGATAGTTATACATCATGTCCTTGTAATCATGTAACAAAGCGCTGACAAATATAAACGAGAACAGCCGGAAACGATGAAAGAAAAAAATACCACTGACACAGATCTTGTGACAATGGAAGTGTGTGTATTCAGTGTATTCACCTTAGTTTAACTGGCTCTAAGGTCTAGACAATTCCATCAAATTACAATAGGGACATACCTGTTTGTCAATAAACAAAGGCAACAATAGGTATTGCTATAAATACCACACTATTTTAGCTCAGACATTGGGTCAGGATCGTAGCGGAATCACAGCCGACAGTAATCTGTTTGATGGTCAGACTTCAGTGTTAGGCACTCAAGTAGTTTGATACTGTTGTCCGATTTGTTTTCTCCTAACGTTTCTGTGGCTGGTTACTGAAGTCATCAGATGACAATCCTTCTGTTTTGTTTGTTATCTAGTTTTGAAGTCTGTTAGTTCTTATAGCTTGGGTTAAAATATTACTTAGGGGACATCCCGTGTGATAAACAGTAATATATATTCATTATATCGCAGTATTTTTTATCATAAACAGTAGTTGTAAGTCATATAAAAATATGATTAAGCAATTGCTTTCAGTCCAAATATTTCATCCTTCTGGCCTTCTTCAAGGGCGAAAGTCAATGATGGATTAAAGCTACGTCTATCATGCTTCTTCGGAAGTAGACGAACCATCGTACAAAAAATATGACATCATAATGTTTTGTTGAATTTATGAAGTCATAGATTCAAAAAGTCATAATTTTTGCGACAAATTGTTTTATCATTTATCTATTTTCCCTATGGAATTGAACTGTTGTTTAATATTTAGAAACAATTATTGTTGTATTTTGTAATATGCTTCGTACATTGCACATCTTTGATCAAAAGTAGTATTTATAAGTTATTATAAAGTCTTTTTTAAATCTGTGTGTTATAACATAATTTTTATCATGAGATTTACGACAAGAAAATCCTTAGATCCAATTAATGATACAAATGTGAAATTGCTTGAATTAGAATTTTAAATAGAGACAACGCATCATAGTTTATCTACCCATACTTGCTAAGTTTTTGAGATTTCTATGGGGGAAATTCTGAACTCTCAAATTTAAAACCTAAATAAAATTTTGTATATACCCCCTAGAGACAAAATAACCCTTTAAAATGACATATTTTGAGTTATTAGATGAAATCATTAGATCTTAGAATATAGGAATAGATTAACAAATTCACTGGTTGAAAATGCTAAATTTAAGGGTCCAAAATCGGGACTCTCCCTTCTAAATAGGGAGAGTTGGCAAGTATGTCTACCAAGTCAACCGTAATTTTATGACTGACCAACATTTTTTCCAGTCAGACTCAAGTGTGAAATATTAAATATCATACTGTAGGTCAACAGCGCTTTGAAGTTAAGGGGAAGCAACTCTTACACACTTATGCAAAAATCATTTGTGTTCAAGAAAATAAGCAATGTAATGATAAATTTGTTTCCAAAACAGTATTGTTTGAAATTGATTATCTTGCATTAGTGTTCATTATTAGATGAGATAAAGCATTTCTATTGCTACAAACACATATTATTTTATAAATATGTACAAATGTGTAACTGAACGATACCTAACAATGACACTAAACACATTAAAATTTTATCAGAATTTAAAATTCTATTTTCATAACTTAAATTGTATCCCATCTGTACTGTAAAATCTTGGGTTGTCATTGCATATCCTGTGTGCAGTATTTTTTTTTATATCCTTTGTGTTTGGGGATCTTCCATAATGTATACACGCTGTCAACAACAATATCTACTGGTTGTTAGGTAACATGTGTAGCCAATCATAAGTTGTTTTGTAGAAAATATACCTTGAACAGCTAAATCTAAAACAAGTATGTCTGCAATCTTTCATATACAATTCAATGAAATATTATATGTATTCCAAAAAAAATAGACAGTAAAAATTTGTTTTCCTGGGGATTGGTTAGATGGGAGATATTTTGGCGACAAAATCCGTGGATTTTCTTACTTTTTGACAGCACGTAAAATGAAAAAAATCTGGTAAAAAATAACATGAACACATGTGATTGAGACAATTACCATTTTGCAAACAACATCCAAAGTCAGTCAAGAGTTATTGCCCTTTGTGTGTATCATCAGCATTCATCATGGATTTTTATTTAGGAGTATATGTGATAGTTTTCCTTATTTTGTTCCCCTATACCTATATAGAATATTCCTTGAAAAAGGTGGTACATGCACAGTCATGCAGCTGTTTGGCGAGGGGGGTTGATTTAAAGAAAATGGTCACATAGTCATGCAGCTGTTTGGCGAGGGGTGGTGATTTAAAGAAAATGGTCACACAGCCATGTAGCTGTTTGGCGAGGGGGGTTGATTTAAAGCAAATGGTCACACAGCCATGCAGCTGGTTGGCGAGGGGGGTTGATTTAAAGAAAATGGATACACAGCCATGCAGCTGTTTGGCGAGGGGAGTTGATTTAAAGAAAATGGTCGCTCAGCCATGCAGCTGTTTGGCGAGGGGGGGGGGGGGGGGGGGGGGCGGGGATTTAAAGAAAATGGTCATTCTGGAGTTTCAGGAAACACAGATCATAGTAATATGTGATTGACCAATGGAATACATTAGATTTTGTTAAACAGTTTATATAGATGGATGATTAGACATGAGGCACACAAGGATAGGACAGTCAGAAGATTGTATACAACAGTCACGTGGGAAACTGTCTAATACAATAATCACGTGATGAACTAGGAATTTGAGGATTTTTCACTGTCTAATACAATTATCACGTGATGAACTAGGAATTTGAGGATTATTCACTGTTTAATACAATAATCACGTGATGAACTAGGAATTTGAGGATTATTCACTGTCTAATACAATAATCACGTGATGAACTAGGAATTTGAGGATTATTCACTGTTTAATACAATAATCACATGATGAACTAGGAATTTGAAGATTATTCACTGTCTAATACAATAATCACGTGATGAACTAGGAATTTGAGGATTTTTCACCATCTTAATGAACAGACTTCATAACTGAGTCTCTGAAAATATAAAAGTCTTCTTATGTTTTACATACGCTTCCAAACAAAGTTTATGTATTCACTGTCTGTCCTTTGGGATGATTTCTCTGTTCACTCAATCCAAATAAACTCTAGATCTGGGTTCTTGGAATAGGGACTTATACTGTCATTACAAATGTTTGTTGGAAAATCACAGGATAATTTCACGTCCTTAAAAAACACACCCAAAAAAGTCATGTTCGTTCTGAAGTACATTAAGCCTATCTGTGTGGTCACTATGATATTGCTTAATTATATTTCTCACTAAACGTGCAGAGTATCTACAGGAAAATTAGTGTATTGTATGTACTTGAGATAAAGGAAGCTTGTATACAGACCCTTCTGTTGTAACAGTTTACAGAGAATGATGACTGATCAGTCACTTAAAGTCAGGTTTATACAGAGTAACAACTGACCTCTATCAGACAGATAGCCATGGTCATTGTCACCTATTGGTCAATTACTGTTATCGTGACTTTCAGAAAATAATTGGGCAGGGTCGGGGGTGAGGGAGGGAGGTTTTTAATCCATCCAGTATTAATTTTGGTGCATCTGTCTATTTGTCCATTTATTCTTCTGTCTGTCTGTAGCTCCCCTGAAAATTGAAAATGGTCCACTTATTGGTCAGTTAGAAAGAATAACAGATTGAACATTGTCTGAAAGCAGGGGATACATATTCCATATCTTCTTGTTACAAGCTCAGTCAGATGTTGTTCCGACAATTACTGGTGACAATTATAAGGTATTTCCTGAAACCGCCATTTTGGAACTGTCAACAGCAATTGATTAAGTTAAACTCCCTTAATCCATAACCAAGAAATCAGTTTTTTTAATGATTTATCAATATGTGTTTTCATTATCAGGCTCAACACCCCTGCCCCAAAGGTTGCCACACCTTCTGTTTATAAATACTATGACAAGTCTCCTTGGCCAAAGGTTGCTACAGACGGTTTACCAAATGAAATTAAAATCCTTTGACCCATATTCATTAAATGCTGAGAAACATACATTTATGCAAAATTAAAAATGTACACAAGTTTATCAAATCTATCTGTCTATTTCTTGTAATATAAGTACAACACCATAGCAGTTGAGCTATAATTGCCTTTGGGCCTCATATTAATATGTTGTGGTTGGGATCCGGGGATGAAGGATATTTTTTATGGAATCATCAAAAGAAGAGTGTGCTAGAAATTGTTTTTTGGTACATCATTTGATATAAGAACAATACTGATTAAAAGAAATATCTATCCCTTCCGAATATCAAAGTTCCTTAGTTGGTTCATTACTTGATTGGTGAAATTAATGGACACGTTCCTCTACTCACTATAAAGCAACCTTGGCTTCTGTTCTCAGATAGGATTCGACATATCTTTTCAAATGTAAATAA